CTTGCTGGCTGGGGAATTCTGGGAGTTGAAGTCCACCCATCTTAAAGTTGCCAAGATTGAGAAACACTGGTCTAGCGTATACATTTGCACAAAGCAGATGTTTTAATAGAGCACCCCCAGTTATTTATTTATTTTTATTTTTATTTATTTATTTACTAGCGCTTTTCTACTAGTCCAGCTGAAAGATAACCACACAAATGCTAACATGTCACTATCTTCAGTTCAAATTTGATAATAACATAGACCATCCAAGGCATCTATCTCCATCCTAGGTACTCAGGGGGGTCTGCAGAGCGTGGTCCAAAAAACCAAAATGGCGGCCACCATAGTGGATTGGCACTCCAATTTCACCATTCTGGCCACCAGCTTCCCTTTTTGGACTATACCCTTCAGACCTTCTTGCAGGTACTACACACCTCACCAACGTTTGAGTTCCCAAAGGCCTGCCTAAACAATAAGTTTTCACCAACTTTCTAATTATGGGATATTAATAATGATATTAATAAAAAGGGTGCTAATCTTACTCCTAGGGAGGGGGATCAAAGGGCAGTAGCAGACGCTTGCTTCTGAGTCCCCTCCTGCTATTGGTGGTGGTGGGACTCGAAGCACAGGTTAGACAGGCTAATTCAAGCAAGTAGTCTTACAGATACCCAGGCCCTGAGCTATAAAGGCCTTGATAAGTTATTCCCAGCAGCTTGAATTGCACCTAGCAAACTAGCAACCAAGGTATGTCCTAGAGTCCTGGCATGTTGCCATGTTCCCACTGATACGGGAAGCTGTGTCCTGCACTTGCTGACTTCAGGTGGCCTTCAGGGAACTCCTGGGTGCAGTGAGTTACCGTAGTCTATTTGGGAGTGAAATGGCATGTGGGAAAGACCTTGGGAGACGGGGCAAAGAGATGCTGCCAAGGGAATGGTCAGATAAGAGACAGCATAGCCCACAACTGGATAGTGGGTGGGGCAAGAGGCTCAGGAGGGAGCCTCCCTAGGTTTTTGGGCTGTAAAGGTGACGATGGAAGAATTGAACTTTCAGACTTGCAAGATTCTGTCAATGTAGCTTTACAGTAAAGTCGAATTAGCTCATATGGTTGTGATTCCTATCTGGTTTACTCTGTGAGGCCGACATCGATCTTGCAAGTCTGAAAGTATAATCCCCCCTCCCCCCGTCTCCTTTACAGCCCGAGAAACTAGGGAGGGTCTCTTCTGAGCCTCTTGCCCCTCCCTCTATCCAGCTGCAGGCTATGCTGTCTCTTATCTGACCATCCCCTTGGCAGCGTCTCTTTGCCCCATCTCCCAAGGTCTTTCCCACATACCATTACAGGAGGTGATGAGCGCACGATGCCTCCCAGAACAACCATAACCTCACATCAGTGACAGCTGAGCAAAGGGGTTCCTCACTACAGCTTCAACCTACTGTTCCAGCAGGAGCTGTGGGTCCACAAATACCCCCAAGTTGTGGACCAGTGCTTTTGAGGGGAGCACAACAGAGAATTGATCTGTTGATGAATGAACAGGCTCTCTGCCTTGTTTCTCCCCATCCAGACCTTTACAGCCAAGGGTGTTCACGGGGTGCGGTCAAAAACATCAACATGGTAGCCATGACGGAGCAATCAAAGCTCGGCCTGTTTTGTACATGCATCACAGACTTTTTTAGGTGCATCCTGCAGATACCTCTGCCTCCCATTATCCTTATGCTAAGTATTATATAATGTCTTCTTTGTCAAAATAAATTCAGAAAATTAAGCTGCTTTGAAGAATATCTAGCGCAGTGTTGGCTGGCTGGGGAATTCTGGGAGTTGAAGTCCATTCATCTTAAAGTGGCCAAGTTTGGACAACACTGATCTAGGGAATGCCTTCCAACTTTTGAAATCCCAGTCTCTAGGTCAGCTCACCCAAAGTCATTGGTCTATCTTTTGTCCCAGAGAGAGAAAGTTTGCTTTGCGTGTGGCTGTTGCAGAAGAGGAGGACTGGGAGGAAAAATAATATATCATTTGGGAAGTTTTCCAAATATTATGCCTCACCCATTTACTAGCCAAGGACTGCCATTGAGGAAAATAGCCTGCAGTGAAGGACAAGGACGTCATACATATTGTGCAAATCCCATGTCTGCATACAGGAAAAAATGTCTTCTATGCATGCAGAGCAAAAATGCAGGTCTAAACCAGTATTGAAGGTTTGTGCCTTTTTTTTATGTCAAGGTGCCAAGACCTCTGGCAATGAAAAAGGAAAGCATTCAGACCAGGAAGAGGAAACCTAAAAATATCACTAAAGGCAAATCCTCAACAAATGGTAAGTCTTTCATTATAATTTTATTTATTAGGATTCTCAGTACGCATAGCATTTTTCAAAATATTAGAAGACAGCTCTGAGTCTTGGAAGGTTTGTAGTTTAAACTCTACAGAGGGAGGGCAGTGGAAGAAAGGAAGAATAAAAGGATTTGGGAAGGGGGTCCTAGATTGGATTTAGTTATTCTTTGACTGAATTCAAACATGGTTCTAAGGGATAATATAGTTTGTCTGATTTTAGCTTAGTGTGGCCATCTCTAGCTTAGAAGCATCAAGACACATTGGAATAACAAGATGCGCAAGTCCCAATGTATTTAAGGCATGTCCTGTTGGGAAATGCTGGCTTAGTGTATTGTGTGAACACATCCATTGTGGCTTGCTGATCCTAGTTTGTAGCTTAGTTCTATGGAGGTACCTAGCTAGTAGTTACTCCAACAAACTGTGGGTAAGCAAGCTGTAACTTAGTCTGATTTATGAACTAAATGTTTGCAGTTACAGGGCAACTGAGATTTTTGTTTTATTTTCAACCTTGCCCCATCTGAATTCTTAGCCTGAAGCCCTGCAATTCAAGACGGATCCCTCCCCATACTTTGCCCACTCTAACAAAGAATGATGGTTAAAGATTGATTTCAGTAATTTTGAACTATAAACCTCCTTGAGTGCTTTGGCAGCAAGACTGTAAATAAATGCATAACAGAATGGAAACAGAATGTTATAGGGCAGAGGGTTTCGGAGATTTCAGCTATCCCTGCCCTCTTCCTGAATACTGAGTTCAACTCCCACCAGTTTTGAAATGTTTTCTTATCCAGCAGTTAGCAAGCATTTCATGGCATTTCATGGCCATTGAGTGTGCTAACTCTCACTGGGTTATTCTTCAGATTTTTAAAGTTTTTTTAAAGTTTTCTTCTTTATTTGTGAAAGCTTTGGGCTTCCCCCTACAATGCTAACATTGCCTTCTCCATGTCAGAGTGATTTAAAACTCTGTTTTTTATGGTATTGTTGTTCCCTGACATGGCCTGAGATAATCTTCCTTTTACTATTGGGTTTCTGTTTTTAAGGCTTATGTTCTTGTACACTGCTGAGAGTTCCTCTGGCGATGGAGTCAGCTAACAAATTGATTTTAAAAATAGAAATGAAAATGGGACTGCATTAGAATCAGCTAACAGAAGGTTGAGTTAGAATTGTAAACTGGAAGCAAGCAGATGGAATAGTATTTGGTCTTCAGTGTCATATAGGACAGGGAGACGTTTTGAAGTAGATGGAAATACTAATACATGACAATATGAGATGGTGCAAATGGGAATTGCTTGATCTGCTTCATGCTTTTCTTAATACATACGTTCTAATATATATATATATTTTCCCACCACTTTCAGGTTCCACAACTTCCACCACCAACTCTCCTTCCTCACTTCCGAACTCAGACAGCACAGTCACTTTAAAAACTGAACCCACCGTCACATCACAATATCAGGGACAATCAATAGTGTCAACTTCCCAGGTCAGTAAAACCAGCAGGGATCTCACATATTCCTACCCAATGTTTAGGTCATTTTTTTCAATGGACAAACAGCCTGATAAATATAAAAATTGTTTTTAAAAATGGTTGGTTACAAAATTGAGAACAATAATAATACCATCAAATCAAAGAAGCTTAGGTCAGAAACTTCATTATAACTCCACAGCTTGCCAGTGAGAGATCCAGTAAAAATCAAAATGTTGTTAAAAAGAAAAGAATTCTTCAGGGTGAGCTAAATGGGTGACTACGTGGATCCATCCATGTAGTTTTCTTGGCCATGGTATGGCAGCGGTTGGCCATTGATTTCTTCAAGATTTTTTTTTTAATTTCTCAGTCTAGCCCAACAGCCTTGGTGGCCTTTCATCCAAATTCTAACCAGGTCTGCTTTGCTTATCTTTTTCAAGATCAGCCAGGGTTAACTGCTGTGACCAAAACATGACTTCTATTTCTTTAAAGAACGAACAGAACCGAGTTGGCATTTCCTTTCCTGAGTTGGCAAGGGATTCATACGTGGTGTGACAAGCTATGAGAAAATCTCTCCATTTGATGGCAGTGGTTCTCACCTCCAGTAATGGCCCATCTACAATATGGTTGACTTGCAATCTATTTTAGTTTTCCTGCAGTGGAGATCCTTAGGGGTCTACATGGCTGAGTCCCTCAATGTTAGAAATAAACTTCTCTCTCCGGGCAACCTTTGACCTTTTTCTTCTGGATGTTGGTCTATAGCAGTGTTGTCCAAACTTGGCCACTTTAAGATGAGTGGACTTCAACTCCCAGAATTCCCCAGCCAGCATGGC